TTGTTTCCGTGATAACTGTAAGACGTTTAGTTTATTGTGTGTGTGTGTGTGCGTGTGTGTGTGAATGATGTGGTGTCTGTTGATTGTGTTGGTTGTTAGTGTTTGAAAGAGGTTATTTTGTTGAGTGTAGTTGTGCAGTTGTTTTTGTTCCTGAAAGCGCAGAGACGCACTGGCGTTGTCTGTCGTCGCATTGGGAACAACAGAGAAGGATGATTCCATATAGTGGGTGAGATGGCAATGATGCTGTTTCAATGTGGTATCGTACAGTTGTATGGCGAATGATGAATTGAAGTGTTAATGTAATGTGATATTGACGAGTGTTTGTGTTTCTAGCGACGTGTTTGTTTCCGTGATAACTGTAAGACGTTTAGTTTATTGTGTGTGTGTGTGTGCGTGTGTGTGTGAATGATGTGGTGTCTGTTGATTGTGTTGGTTGTTAGTGTTTGAAAGAGGTTATTTTGTTGAGTGTAGTTGTGCAGTTGTTTTTGTTCCTGAAAGCGCAGAGACGCACTGGCGTTGTCTGTCGTCGCATTGGGAACAACAGAGAAGGATGATTCCATATAGTGGGTGAGATGGCAATGATGCTGTTTCAATGTGGTATCGTACAGTTGTATGGCGAATGATGAATTGAAGTGTTAATGTAATGTGATATTGACGAGTGTTTGTGTTTCTAGCGACGTGTTTGTTTCCGTGATAACTGTAAGACGTTTAGTTTATTGTGTGTGTGTGTGTGCGTGTGTGTGTGAATGATGTGGTGTCCTGTTGATTGTGTTGGTTGTTAGTGTTTGAAAGAGGTTATTTTGTTGAGTGTAGTTGTGCAGTTGTTTTTGTTCCTGAAAGCGCAGAGACGCACTGGCGTTGTCTGTCGTCGCATTGGGAACAACAGAGAAGGATGATTCCATATAGTGGGTGAGATGGCAATGATGCTGTTTCAATGTGGTATCGTACAGTTGTATGGCGAATGATGAATTGAAGTGTTAATGTAATGTGATATTGACGAGTGTTTGTGTTTCTAGCGACGTGTTTGTTTCCGTGATAACTGTAAGACGTTTAGTTTATTGTGTGTGTGTGTGCGTGTGTGTGTGAATGATGTGGTGTCTGTTGATTGTGTTGGTTGTTAGTGTTTGAAAGAGGTTATTTTGTTGAGTGTAGTTGTGCAGTTGTTTTTGTTCCTGAAAGCGCAGAGACGCACTGGCGTTGTCTGTCGTCGCATTGGGAACAACAGAGAAGGATGATTCCATATAGTGGGTGAGATGGCAATGATGCTGTTTCAATGTGGTATCGTACAGTTGTATGGCGAATGATGAATTGAAGTGTTAATGTAATGTGATATTGACGAGTGTTTGTGTTTCTAGCGACGTGTTTGTTTCCGTGATAACTGTAAGACGTTTAGTTTATTGTGTGTGTGTGTGTGCGTGTGTGTGTGAATGATGTGGTGTCTGTTGATTGTGTTGGTTGTTAGTGTTTGAAAGAGGTTATTTTGTTGAGTGTAGTTGTGCAGTTGTTTTGTTCCTGAAAGCGCAGAGACGCACTGGCGTTGTCTGTCGTCGCATTGGGAACAACAGAGAAGGATGATTCCATATAGTGGGTGAGATGGCAATGATGCTGTTTCAATGTGGTATCGTACAGTTGTATGGCGAATGATGAATTGAAGTGTTAATGTAATGTGATATTGACGAGTGTTTGTGTTTCTAGCGACGTGTTTGTTTCCGTGATAACTGTAAGACGTTTAGTTTATTGTGTGTGTGTGTGCGTGTGTGTGTGAATGATGTGGTGTCTGTTGATTGTGTTGGTTGTTAGTGTTTGAAAGAGGTTATTTTGTTGAGTGTAGTTGTGCAGTTGTTTTTGTTCCTGAAAGCGCAGAGACGCACTAGGCGTTGTCTGTCGTCGCATTGGGAACAACAGAGAAGGATGATTCCATATAGTGGGTGAGATGGCAATGATGCTGTTTCAATGTGGTATCGTACAGTTGTATGGCGAATGATGAATTGAAGTGTTAATGTAATGTGATATTGACGAGTGTTTGTGTTTCTAGCGACGTGTTTGTTTCCGTGATAACTGTAAGACGTTTAGTTTATTGTGTGTGTGTGTGTGCGTGTGTGTGTGAATGATGTGGTGTCTGTTGATTGTGTTGGTTGTTAGTGTTTGAAAGAGGTTATTTTGTTGAGTGTAGTTGTGCAGTTGTTTTGTTCCTGAAAGCGCAGAGACGCACTGGCGTTGTCTGTCGTCGCATTGGGAACAACAGAGAAGGATGATTCCATATAGTGGGTGAGATGGCAATGATGCTGTTTCAATGTGGTATCGTACAGTTGTATGGCGAATGATGAATTGAAGTGTTAATGTAATGTGATATTGACGAGTGTTTGTGTTTCTAGCGACGTGTTTGTTTCCGTGATAACTGTAAGACGTTTAGTTTATTGTGTGTGTGTGTGTGCGTGTGTGTGTGAATGATGTGGTGTCTGTTGATTGTGTTGGTTGTTAGTGTTTGAAAGAGGTTATTTTGTTGAGTGTAGTTGTGCAGTTGATTTTGTTCCTGAAAGCGCAGAGACGCACTGGCGTTGTCTGTCGTCGCATTGGGAACAACAGAGAAGGATGATTCCATATAGTGGGTGAGATGGCAATGATGCTGTTTCAATGTGGTATCGTACAGTTGTATGGCGAATGATGAATTGAAGTGTTAATGTAATGTGATATTGACGAGTGTTTGTGTTTCTAGCGACGTGTTTGTTTCCGTGATAACTGTAAGACGTTTAGTTTATTGTGTGTGTGTGTGTGCGTGTGTGTGTGAATGATGTGGTGTCTGTTGATTGTGTTGGTTGTTAGTGTTTGAAAGAGGTTATTTTGTTGAGTGTAGTTGTGCAGTTGTTTTGTTCCTGAAAGCGCAGAGACGCACTGGCGTTGTCTGTCGTCGCATTGGGAACAACAGAGAAGGATGATTCCATATAGTGGGTGAGATGGCAATGATGCTGTTTCAATGTGGTATCGTACAGTTGTATGGCGAATGATGAATTGAAGTGTTAATGTAATGTGATATTGACGAGTGTTTGTGTTTCTAGCGACGTGTTTGTTTCCGTGATAACTGTAAGACGTTTAGTTTATTGTGTGTGTGTGTGTGCGTGTGTGTGTGAATGATGTGGTGTCCGTTGATTGTGTTGGTTGTTAGTGTTTGAAAGAGGTTATTTTGTTGAGTGTAGTTGTGCAGTTGATTTTGTTCCTGAAAGCGCAGAGACGCACTGGCGTTGTCTGTCGTCGCATTGGGAACAACAGAGAAGGATGATTCCATATAGTGGGTGAGATGGCAATGATGCTGTTTCAATGTGGTATCGTACAGTTGTATGGCGAATGATGAATTGAAGTGTTAATGTAATGTGATATTGACGAGTGTTTGTGTTTCTAGCGACGTGTTTGTTTCCGTGATAACTGTAAGACGTTTAGTTTATTGTGTGTGTGTGTGTGCGTGTGTGTGTGAATGATGTGGTGTCCTGTTGATTGTGTTGGTTGTTAGTGTTTGAAAGAGGTTATTTTGTTGAGTGTAGTTGTGCAGTTGATTTTGTTCCTGAAAGCGCAGAGACGCACTGGCGTTGTCTGTCGTCGCATTGGGAACAACAGAGAAGGATGATTCCATATAGTGGGTGAGATGGCAATGATGCTGTTTCAATGTGGTATCGTACAGTTGTATGGCGAATGATGAATTGAAGTGTTAATGTAATGTGATATTGACGAGTGTTTGTGTTTCTAGCGACGTGTTTGTTTCCGTGATAACTGTAAGACGTTTAGTTTATTGTGTGTGTGTGTGTGCGTGTGTGTGAATGATGTGGTGTCTGTTGATTGTGTTGGTTGTTAGTGTTTGAAAGAGGTTATTTTGTTGAGTGTAGTTGTGCAGTTGATTTTGTTCCTGAAAGCGCAGAGACGCACTGGCGTTGTCTGTCGTCGCATTGGGAACAACAGAGAAGGATGATTCCATATAGTGGGTGAGATGGCAATGATGCTGTTTCAATGTTGGATCGTACAGTTGTATGGCGAATGATGAATTGAAGTGTTAATGTAATGTGATATTGACGAGTGTTTGTGTTTCTAGCGACGTGTTTGTTTCCGTGATAACTGTAAGACGTTTAGTTTATTGTGTGTGTGTGTGTGCGTGTGTGTGTGAATGATGTGGTGTCTGTTGATTGTGTTGGTTGTTAGTGTTTGAAAGAGGTTATTTTGTTGAGTGTAGTTGTGCAGTTGTTTTTGTTCCTGAAAGCGCAGAGACGCACTGGCGTTGTCTGTCGTCGCATTGGGAACAACAGAGAAGGATGATTCCATATAGTGGGTGAGATGGCAATGATGCTGTTTCAATGTGGTATCGTACAGTTGTATGGCCAATTATGAATTGAGGTGTTAGTTTAGTTTGGCGTTGATGATATTTCGTGTTTCTCGTGACGTGGTTCGTTTGAATTTTTATTGTATGTATGTGCATTTTATGTCGTGTCTTAATGTTTTCTTGTGCATTGTGTATTTATTCGTTGTATTGTTTTTGGGTTTTCGGATTTTTGAGATTATTTTTGGATGCTGAGTATTATTTTTTATGTTTTTTTTAATGTTTATTTGTCGTGTTATCGCGTTTTTTTGAAATGTTTTTTATTTTATGGTGTTTTGTGTGTTCATATTTTCAATAATTTAGTGGCCGTACGTATTGTTATTTTTGTCGTGTGTTTGTTTTCGCTTCATCCTACTTGGTATTTTTCATTGGTAATTAGCTGTTTAGAACTTTGTGCGCTGTATTTTATTTTCGTTATTTTGGGTAATATTTTTATTGCATCACATTTTACTTTACTTGATTGTTATTCCAACGAATATGTGTCAGTGATTATTTTATTTTTCACTGTTTTCCCTTGTTTATTTACTTTACAAGTATTTTGTTTATATTTATTACTGGTGTTTTTATTCTGATGTTCACTTCAGTTTTATTTTCAATTTAAGAAAAATAAAGAAAATGTTTTCTATATCAAATCTTATATTTAGAATAGTTTTAATATATATGCTGTATAAAATAATATACATTGGTTCGTGATAATGTTTGTCTTTGTTCTAATGGCTAACGTATGATGGAGTCTATTTGAAGCGCTAACTAGTAATTGTAAACCTTTTTGATTCTTTGATTTGTGCTTATTGGTATGTTGTAGCTGTTGAAGTCGTTTGTGTTTAGTCGTTGAATACTTCACATTTGTTTCTAGTGCAAATAGTTTGGAAGATTGTTTAACCATATTAGACGTAGATATATAATTGTAGTTAACCAAAGTTCTACAATAGAAAGGAAAAACAGAACATTTTCTAAAAAAAAAAAACTAGGAATGTTAAGTACTAAGTTCAATACTCTTTATTCGAGTCATATATACGCGGTAAAACAGAAGCTAAGTAAATGTGAATGTGTAGGTCGGATTTCATTTTTAAAAGCTTGTGTAGAATAATGCAGTGATTAGTAATGTCATGTAAGTAATACTATAGCTGTTGTAGTTTCTCTATTTATCCTTTGTCATTTAAGCCACAAACAGTACATACACTAACTCCCACTGTATTGTAAACGTTGTCACTAACATATCAAAATTTTCGAGTCTCTAAATTGAACTATCTGAATATAGATGCGTAGTCCAAGTAATTGCAGTTTTTATTCCGTAGTATATGTTGCGATATGTAATAAGTTCTCACATACACTTCATTTTCATTCTTAATGAATGTAGAGCCAGATGCGAATTTACATTAATACATGTTGCCACAACTCTTCACAGCGATATGAAATCAACGAAAATCGAAGTGTTACTAAAAATAGGAATGAATGAGACTAAACATAGGATAATACGTTTAGACCAGTAGAACGTAGTGGATTAACTTATGAGATTTTTAAGAATGATGGTTCAGTTTTAGCAGTTATATTAACCAAAATCTGGGAACTAGATCTAGTCCCATCTGACTGGTCTCGATCTTTGATCGTTCCAGTTTATAAGGAAGGGCAGAAATCCCTTTGTGGCAATCGCAGAGGAATCGGTTTAACAAATATGTTGTCTAAAATATCAGCCTCGATAATACTTTGATGTTTAACTATAGAGAAAACCAAACCAACTGTTCACCCTTCGGCAGTTTCTGGGACATAGACACTTTTCGCTGTTTGTCGATAGTTGTATTCCTTGACCTTAAAATATCGTTCGACTCCGTTGATCGTGAGGTTCTGTAGCAGTGTCTACTGAAACATGCACCAATGAAGCACATTAACATTGTACAGGCTCTTTACTCGAACACCACCGGTCGATTCAGAGTTTATGATGAACTTTCATCGAAATTGAATATTTTAAGTGGTGTTCGTCAAGGTTGTTCGCTTTTCCACTGTTATTTAACTTTCTTATAAATATGCTTTTACAGATAACGCTCTCATCACCTGACTTTTCAGGGAATGATGTATTTGGAAGTTCACTTGTTGACATTGAATAGGCAGATGATATTAGTTTTGTTTGGTGAATATGCTGACAAAATGCAAAATATTCTGACCACCTTAAGCAACAATCCAAGCATGCTTGGCATGCATTCAGATGTCTGGATTGGATTTTGCCAACTTGCGTCACCTGTGGCGTAGGTGAGATATCCATATCCCAATCAAAGGGCCAGTTTACTGCTCAGTAGTTCGCTTCGTTCTACTTAATGGGTGTGAAACATGATGATCCAGAGTAAGGATACTCGTAGGTTACTGGTATTCGATAATCAGTGTCTATGAGGCATCGCTCGTGAATTTTGAGACCACCTAGTTTGAAATTCTTAATTTAGGAATAGAGTACTAGGTTAAAATTGGAAATCGATTGATAAGGCAGTAAATCTCCATCAACTGAGGTGATTGGGACATATGTTGCGTATGCTCTCCTACTTCGACGGAGAACGTATTCTGGTGCACGATTAGGCTGGAAGAAAGCTAAAGGCGGCCAAATCATGACACGGTATCAGTCCATGAAGTCACTGACAGTTCGACTGACCTATGTTGATAGACCACCTGGATGGGGTCCGTGTAATTATCATAACCAATCGTTAGAGAGTTTGAATGATGGCTCAAAATCTCTTGCGTTAGCACAGATGCATCTATCATTTGTCTTCTCCCGAATTCCTCATAACTTTTTGTCAAATAAACTAATTAATGTATTTATAACAATCTACCCAATGCTCAATTTATTCGAAATTATCAAATCAAACCTTAGTAATGATACTTGCATAACTTTTTTTGTCTCACGAATTCGTATTTTTTTCAAATCGTGTCTTTGATTCCTAATACTTCCTGTTACCACTGATACTGTTCCTGACCGTTGCTGCTACCTAGAAGTGATTGTTGGGCTTGCCTATCGTGATGATCCCATCAGGGTATACTAGATGGGACAATCGTTTATCAAGGTCCTACCATGTCAGACACGTCGGTTGAAGAACGGTAAGACCAAAACTAGAAAACTCAAGGTGCGAGGGCTAAATCGTACTGCTGACTGCACAGAGTTGTGACGGCAGTAAAGTGTTTCCCTCAGACCACCAGCATAACAGCGATGCTGCCTTCCCACAAAGGAAGGGCTGGGCTAGGAGAGGACAACCCTAAAAATTTTCACCTCACCTTATTACACGCATTTTTGTCTCCGACGATGAGGTTTCAACAATTACGGGGCCAACACGAAAATTGCCCGGGGTCATACAGTTGTCCCTTGGGTACTGCCTTCACGCTCTCGAATCACTAAAACCAACTTTCGTTCAATTTCCTTTTCAGGTACTCCCAGAAAACCCCATCGGGTGAGAAACCGGGATGGGATAATCGCCCTCATATCTCTAACAGCACTCAAGATTACCACTGTGTTCATAATCATTTTCCTTCTTCAGTTTCTATTATTCCTCCTGCTTCGACTTTCATCTATAAACTTCTCCAAGTGTCACCATAGCCAACAATTCTAGTGCGCGAAATACTGTCCCAAGTCTACTGAAATTCCTCTACAAACTACACATTGAAGCCTTCGATGTACGTAGCCCGTGTGAAGTCGGTCGGCAGCTTTCCTTGACTAAGACCATAAGATCTCATACGATTGATGTATGTTGTCTCCGAAACACGCGTACGAGATCCTAGTGTATTCATTCATTTAACCTTACCTCGCCAAAACGGAGAGCCGACGAGATACACCCCCCGTGTATCTGGCGACCCGATGGCTAGTTCTCGTGGACTGGCGGGTGCAGGTATAGCACTAAGTTCGAGGACAGAACAAGCACTATTAAGATGGATCCTGTTAGCAGTCTTTTATGTGCTCCTCGATTAAACAACTCCGTAAGAATTCGGAAGGATAGAGACAAACGTCGTTTCTGCCTACGCTCCCACTGACTGCAGCTCGAATGAAGTGAAAGATAACTTTTACAGAAAGCTTTCTGAACTTCTTCAGAAAGCTAGAAGCTCAGACATAGTACTCGTAGCAGGTGACTTTAATGCCCAGATAGGTAGCTTAAACCAAACAGAAAGACATTTAGATGGGTGTTTTAGTATTACGGCTCATCGATCAGATAATGGTGACCGTCTGTTGCAACTGTGCTTAGACAATCGTTTATTTTTGACAAACACAAATTTTAAGCATAACGAGAGACATTGTCTGGCATGGCGACCCTCTGCCACAAACCAACGATGGACTCAAATAGACCATATTGCCATCAGTCATCGTTGGAGAGGTTCGACAGAAGACTGCCGATCTTTCTGGAGTTCATGTTTCGACTGTGATCATGCTCTAATACGAGAGTGCATTTGCTCGCGCCTCAGAAAAGCCACACTAAGAAGACCCATTATGATTGAATTGAATGACGAGAAAGTCGAAAGTCGATTCTAGGAACAACTGAGGTCACATTTAGGCAATTCTGAAGACGAGGCTGACCCAGGTGTTGCTTGAAAAGATATACAAACAGCTGTGGAAATAGCAGTGACATCTATTAGTGATTTGAACCAAAGGGTCACGAAAAACCGTCAACTCGTCCCATTAGGCTCTGAACATGATGACGAGTGAAAAATCAGATCTAGGCTAACCAGAAGTCTACGGAACGATCGTGAGTAGTGGTAGGCACCGAAAACAAAGAGATTGAACAGACAGCAGCTGAAGGTAACACCAGACAGCTTTTCAGACCAATAAAAGAAAACGGAATTAAGAAGTCAAGTGTAAGTGAAAAAACACGGCACTATTATGTGCTCTCATTCCAGACTTTTAGAACGATGAGTGGAACATTTTAATGAGCAGTTCAGCTACTTTACAACTACCCACCATTCCCAGACAGCCTGAACGGAACATTAAAGTAGGTCTCCCGACTCTAGCTGAAGTTCAAAAGGTTATAGCTAATCTGAAACGAGGGAGGGCATCTGCTACAGATGGATTGGCTCCAGAAGTCTTTAAGAATGGTGGTCCAATTTTAGTGATTAGGTTGACTATTATTTTAGCTAAAATCCGGGAGTTAGACGTTATCCCATCTAACTGGTCGCAATCACTCATCGTCCCAATATATAAGAAAGGGTCAAAATCATCCTGTGACAACCAAAGAGGGATTAGTTTAACTAATATAATATCTAAAATATTAGCCTCGTTAAGTATCTGTCGCCTAACTAAGACACGTGAACTGCAAACACGAGGAAATCAAGCTGGCTTCAGACCTGGTCGTGGCTGCATCGACCACATATTCACCGTTCGTCAGGTTCTGGAAGACAGGCATAATTATCGGCGTCCGACAATGATGGTCTTTCTTGACTTAAAAGCAGCGTTTGACTCCATAGACCGCGAGATTCTGTGGCAGTGTCTGTCATTGAAAGGCGTACCTCAGAAGTACATAAACCTTGTGAAGGCTCTTTACTCGAACACTACCAGTCGAGTCAGAGTTTATGGCGAACTGTCATCTGCTTTTGCAACCTCAAGTGATGTCTGTCAAGGCTGTCCACTTTCTCCATTTTTGTTCAACTTCATCATAGACCTATTGATGGAAATAACATTCTCGTTGACTGAATTTTCGAGCATTGATCTCCTTCCAGGAGGTTCACTTATCGACTTAGAATATGCAGATGATATAGTCCTGTTTGTTGAAAACTGATAAAATGCAGAGTCTTTTGGTAGCACTAAGCAACAATGACAGTATGTTTGGAATGCGTTTCTCTCCCTCTAAATGCAAGTTGTTGCTTCAGGACTGGTCTGCGTCAACACCTGAACTAAGGATAGGGAGTAAAGTAGTATTACCCTTTGAAACCTTCACTCATCTTGGAAGTCTGATCAACCCTAATGGGTTGGTATCTGACGAAATCTCGGCACGGATTCGAAAGTTTCGTTTGACTTTTGCCAACTTGTATCACCTATTTCAAAGGTGAGATATTTGTCTCTCAATAAAAGGACGAGTATACCGGGTGATAGTTCGTTCTGTTTTACTTTGAGGCTGCGAATCAAAGCCATCAAGAGTAGAAGATATTCGTGAGTTACCAGAATTTGATCACACATGCCTTAGAAATACTGCTGGCATCTACTGGGATCACCGGGTAAGTAATAGTGAGGTTAAACTCAGGGTATTAAGGAATGATGGTAAGTCATTTGATGAGGTTGTGAATCTTCATCAACGGAAATGGTTGGGCCACGTGTTGCATGTGCCTGAAAACCGGTTAACACAACACACGATGCTGACTAGTGTAGGAGATGGTTGGAAGAAAGTTAAGGGCGGCCAAACCAAAACGTGGAATCAGTGCTTGAAGTCACTAACTTCTAGTCTGAGCCATATTGGTAGATGCAGACTACTCGGTTGGGGTCTATGTAACTATCGTAACCAATGGTTGGAGACTGTGGGTGACATGGCTCAAAATCGATCACAATAGCGTAGGTGTATATACTCTTTGACTTCCCTTAAACCATGAGATTAAAACTACTTTATATCTTTCTTTCTACGGATTAATTTTTTTCCTGTACCATATCCTTATTATTTTTCTGGTTAGCTTGGGACCGGTAGTAACTCTAGAAGAGCTACAGGTCCTCAAATACAACACGGAGAACACCAATCCAATCACTCCTGGTGGCGAAACTATGGAAGATGTAGAATCCTTCACATACCTGGGAAGCATCATCGATGAACAAGGAGGATCGGATGCAGATGTGAAGGCGAGGATTGGTAAAGCAATGGCCGCATTCCCTACGATCGAAGAACATATGGAACTCAAAACAACTTTCAGCCAATATCAAAATCAGAATCTTCAATACGAAAATCAAGACAGTTATACTGTACGGAGCTGAATTGTGGAAAACTACTACAACTATCATCAAGAAGGTACAAGTATTTATAATTTGTTGTCTACGCAATATATTCAACATCCATTGCCTGGATATAATCGGTAACAGCCTTCTGTGGGAGAGAACAAACCAGCTTCCAGCTGAAGAAGAAATTAGGAAAAGACGATGGAAATGGATAGGATATACATTACGCAAATCATCAAACTGCATCACGAGGCAAGACCTAACTTGGAATCCTGAAGGGAAGCGGAAAAGAGGACAGCCGAAGAACACATTACGTCGGGAAATAAAAGCAGATATGAAAAGAGTGAATAAAAACTTGAAAGAGCTGGAAAGGATTGCCCAGGACAAGGTTGGATGGAGAGTGCTAGTGGACGGCCCATACTCCTACACGAGGGGTAACAGGCGTAAGTAAGTAAGTAATCGTATCCTTATATGAAATGTTAATTTTGTGCTGCCATTGAGGTAACTGTGTCTATGAATTTCGTGTTGATCTTGTGCTAATGAGGTGTAGCAACTTGAGCCGATGCATATATGAGCCTAGTCCTACATTGTTGCTGACTGACATTACCTCTACTATCCTGGGATTTGTCGTGACAACTTCATCCTTCTGTGCTAATGGAGTATGGGAACTTGGATCGATGTGCATACGTACAGATTCTTTGTTGTGATTGACTCTTAGATCTTGTTTTATAACCCCCAAGTAATGCACAATGAACTGGTTCGCAGTATGCTCACCATTTGTGGTCATCCAAATTAGCAAAAGATAAGCAAGCTTTCTAAACTTACTCTGAGACTCTTTGAGCTATCAATCCATGTGGGCTGATGAGACTTCTAAAACAAGTAACGCTGTTGACCTCCTCGACTGTTTCTTTATCATGAGTTTAGAGAGTTGACGCAAATAAATCTTAAGTCAAAATTGTAAGGTTAAAAGGATAGAAGTGTATTGCAAATATGTTGTGTCGTTCCTGAATCTGTTCAGAAGTCTTTAAAAACTGGTCTTCATCAAGCGGAATTACTGTCTACGTATTTTAAGTCATCGAATGTGTTTCGCGTTAGGTGATCACCCTTCAAAAAGTCTGATAAAGTTAAGTAAGTGTGGGAATCTCTGATGACGTTGCCTATTTTGATGCCAATTTTTTATAAAGCCTAACATTACGGTTGTCATTTGAATAAAAAGCCAACAAAATTAGGTAACTTTATAGTAGACTATGCTTCTATGAAACCACTTAATCAATATAGTCATGTGTTGCATTGAGGTCTTGGAACACGTTCATGTCTGGGTACCAGTCATTATGTACGTCCGAAAGCCTGGCGAAAGATTTAGCAAACACATCTAAGTCTAGGTATGAATCCTACTAGCTTTCCAGGTGTTTGCTTTTCTGAAGCTCCATGTAGTGATTGGAAGATTGTGGAAGCCAATATTTTTGTCAATGTTTGCTAAGTGGAATCCTCTGTTATTGCTGCAAAAGGATTTCGACATTTTTTCAAGGTGGAACGATTAAGACCAGTCAGATAGAATCACTCACAGCTCCAGAACTGTAATTAGTATCTTAGCCGCCTTAACTGGCAGTAGTGAACTACTCTCTTTGAAGAGTTCTAGAGTTAATCTATCAGGTCATTCTCTTCTACTTTGCTTCTAGTTAGATATGGATTTTTCAACCTCACTAAGGTTTGGAGGACTCATGTGAATCTCCCAATATGATTGGTTGAGATGAGGTGGGTAATTAAAGATTAGCTAACGGGCTTCTGGGTATCTGCTTAAGTTTTGATGGGCTTCTTTCCAATCTCCTGAACTAATTGTTGATCATTTCACGTGAAGTTAGACCGTTAAAGCATACCAAACAATGTCAGATCATCGTATTATTATGACTTCAAATTGTTTAAGTTCATATTTATGGGGACACCACAATCAGTTCTAAATGTTGTGTCGTAGACGCATGAATTATTTGGAATAGCAGGACAGTTATATGTGACCTTTGACCGTAATAAAGTTTGATGGCTATAAATATCCACATTTTAATACTTTATTTATTCAATTAATGAATTCGAACTGTTTTTTAAGTAGTGTAAATTAATTATGTAAAATGTGTACCTTGGTTTAAAGTCTTCGATTTTAATCCATGAGTTATCAAATTTCACGTATTTCGGCCGGAATTCGGGGACATCTTGTTCTCTAATAGGAAATATGCCATCGTTTAGTTCTATTTGTTTCCTTGATAAACAAAATACTGAAATTATTAGAGAAAATATATCTTCACCAATCGCAATATATGCTTGTTAACTTTTCATCAATAAAGTAACTTTATCGCCTGTAATCAAATAAATAATTTCAGAAAGGGTTTTGTGGAGATTTTAGTAATTTCAACAGTTGAGATTATGAGTCAAGTGAAGCTAGATCACCATGGGAAACCTGGAAGTACTGGACGGCCATTTCGTCCTATTATGGGACTCGTCAGCAGTGCTCATCCTTTACTCCGCCTCACGGAGTTCAACAGGGTCAGTTTTGAGATAGTAACTCACTGATGGCAATGGTGGATTTGTCGCTCAACTTCGTGGAGTGGTTGAAGTTAAACATTAACACAGTCGGATGCAGAAACATCAATAATCGATGACTTTGAGATCACATGTATACCTTTATTTAGTCAATATGCATAGCATTAAAAAGTTTAAATTCGATCCGATAAACAAGTAACAGGAATCTATGAGTGGAATTCATCTGTTATTTTTACCAAATTAATTACGAGTCAAAATAATTTGGTATATATATAGCTGATGTGAATATCATTGTTTAGAATGCTGAGTTGACTATGTAATAACCCCGTGGATTCTTAGTGTCATAAAATTTGCTAACATTTGTTATATAGTATACGCTTTTATTTGTGAATGAAAATTACTTGAGTAGTTTCTATGTTCGAGGGATTAAAATAACAACAAACACGCGACTCGTGCGCATATATACAATACAAAAGTGTCACAAAATAGTGTACTAAAAGAGAAAACTAACCAGTGATGTTTAAGTTTCTTTCAGGTGGGAAATACAAACTAATAGTAAAATGGGTGCTTTTGGCTAGAGAATGGTAGGTTTAAAATTTCCATTAATAAATAACAAAAATGATAAGTTTATCCACTAATTTCTGGGAATCTAGCATTCTCTGAAGTAGTGCAATGGCAACATGACTGGAAGCCTTTTTATATTATAGATCTTTCTCTATGGATACTTCAAAACTAATCCACTTATTTCTCTCTGAATGACTTAGTTTTAAGCACAGTGGCATGTCATCAGTTAATAAGAAAGTTGTCAATACATATTCTGTGATTCATTAAAGAGATATGACCTTGTATAGTCTAGCTCATCTATTATTCTTTGTTGTATTTTAAATGAGAAAAAGTCAAATGTTGTTAGTGAATTAGGAAGTCATTGAATACTGTTGTGATTGGCAATTACCAACTGTAAATAAGATATACTACTAATAAAACTTGATTTGATTTAACAGTCTATAAAATACATTGAATCTTTATTTGCATATAAAGAAAAATTTCGGGTAATTACTTCGTTAATCAAAGATACGACTATATAGATTCAATGTATTATTCTGTTATATTGCACAGATTAAATTAACTTCTTTTTCTACTAATAAATGTTTATTTATGAATGTATAACTTATTCACTTACTTCGACATTTTGTTGAATTTTTCAAATTTTAATGGTTTTTCTGAAATTTCACTTATTCTCACTTCACTTCTCATTGTATTCTGTTGTGGAACTGGAATAATGATGTAACCAGCTTTACGTAAATGATCAATAATTGTCTCTCCACTTCCTATAAAATGTGCTGTAAAATATAAAAATAAAATAGATAAATATTGGAAATAAACATTTTCATTATTTTAACAATAACAATTAATTCTCTTAATGCAAAGATCTTTCATTTTAATGGCATAAATTCAATACTTTCCATAGGAAATATTACCTAGTAAGTTCTCTTCTACAGGACCATATAAGTTTATGGTATGTACAATTTTTATTTACAAGTTATGATATTAAAATTGAAAATAAGGATAAATAAATGGATAGTTGTAGGCATGGTGTATGCTACTTATGTTGACAGACATAAGTAGTATGTAACATCAATCAGAAGGGGGTTATCTGTGAACAGAAGGTTGAGAAGATTGAAATAAAGAGAATAAAAAAAGGGACTGATAGCAATCAAGATTACAACAATGATATATTTAATATATATATCCCAGTGAGTATAAAAGTTGCATTTATCACGTTTCGTGACTTAATGTAAGTCACTTCAGAGTAAATAAAATTTGTGATTTTCAAATTTTGCTAAGCCACTGTGTGATTGTTTATTCTACCTCAAAGTGTTCATTCACTACTTAGGGAGTGAATTATAATGAATACATTGATAACTTGAATCAAGTTATAGGTAGAATTATATTCGGAAAAAGATAATCAGAATAAATGTTGGCAACTTAGTTTGAGAATAAAAGATTATTAAGGGCCAGATGTTTGAAAAATAGTCATTTGATGAATGAGCCAATATGAATCAGATAAAGGATGGTGGAAAGTGGAGTTAGTGATGAGAAAATTGTTCAACTATGTGAGAAACAGTGAAATTTGGGGAATTTCCGTTGCAGAAATATAGAATTGGGAAAAATGAAGTATATCAAGTCATTTGAAATCATTGGAAACCTACTGAAGATAAAACGAGACAAGGTAATGAAAAAGTTGAAACCAATTTCGAGTAGTCATCGGCACTGGTATTTAAAGGATTTTTACTAACGGCTCAGTTTTGTTGTCAAGGCGTTTACTGAGTTTCGAGATCAGTTTCTAATTTCTAATAAAGAAAATATTCGAAGTAAGAATCATTTTTTTGATCAGTATGTGATAGTCAACTCCATTCTGACAGTCCTAATATGATTTGGTATCTTAATTCTAGGCTGGTATCATGTTTTTATCTCAAATTAAATAGTGTGAAACAACTCCAAATTTTGACTTTATTTGATTATTTGTTGGAAATTAAATGATCCAAATAAAAATAATATAAAGATTTTATTGATAGTTCATTTATTACTAGTGTTAATTGCCGGTGATTTTAAATGCTTGTTAAGTTGATTTCGTTAAAAGTTCTCTTATTTAAGTAGAAGCCTCAAAATTATGTGAGCCTAATTACGTGGATTGTGGCATCGGAAAATCATGACTTCAATCCCATTGGAGGTTATCAGTGATTAACGATAAACATATAAAAAATTGAGGGAAACATTATTCTGTTATTTAAATTGTTTTTTCATCTGTTACTTTTCTTAGTTAGTGCTGATTTTAAATTTATGCAAAAGAACAAGACCGTATTTTAGGTCCAGGGAGGAGAAATGCATGAATAAAAGGATAATATTTAGTTTAATGTGACTGATTGGCGGTAACTAAGGAACCATTAAAATTACAAATAACCGGGTGGATGTTTCGTCGTTATTTATAAATCTCCAGCAGTAGGGAAGCTTATTTCACCAGGAGGCGAACTCAGGATCTTTAGCTTTTGAGGAGAGCACCCTACTTTAAAACTAATGAAATGCAATCCAATAATTACACTCTCAATTTCTGCTGGTTTTTGGCATAGCGCCACTGTCATCAGTAATGATTATTTCGCTCCCCACACGGTTGAACTCCACTGGTGATAACTTCTCATCAGAGCTTCGGTAGTCTATGTGAACACAACTATTAATTGATTGAATAGAATATGGATATAGATTTAATGAGACGTTATATAGAGATAAATTGTTTCAGTGTAGGATGAAGAAGCAACCCAATGGCCTCTTTTTCTGTTCGTTCTCTAAATAATGTCAAATCGCGTTTGGAAACATCTTTACACTGAGACAGTGAAATCTAAAAAAACAAGGTTGCATTACCTGCGCCTAATGCAAAAAATGCCGATTGATTTAATGATTCAGCAAGTTTTAATTTACTGATTATCTCATGAGCCATTCGCTCATTACGTCTAACTATCAGTTCTTCATTTAAATACTTCTCCAAATCAATAAGCGTTTGAACTTGACTTGGGCTTAACAAGTTTGCTATTTCTTTGTCAATGAAGTAACTTGATGTTGATTGTGATGATGGTGATGATTGGGTACGATAACTATGTGGTTTCGAAATGTTATTCACCTTGTTGGGAAATTTATGTTGTTGTATTGTAGCGTTTTTACGAATCATAGTAATAGGAGAAATTGTGTTTGTTTCATTCATTGTTGTAGTGTAATCTGACGACGAAGTTGACAATAACACAGAATCTGATGGTGTAGTTTGGGTTAAAGACATTCTAGATAATGTTTCATTCAAATCACCGCAATTATAATGTTCAATTAATCGTTCTGTTGGACTACTGAATACATCTGTTTGTTGAATCGGTCCACGTTTTTGATTAGTAATTAATGTATCATTTATTTGTTCATTCCATGTATTGAATAAAACTTTCGTGTTTGATGGGTATTTATTATTGCTACTGCTATCATGACTACTCACACGATCGTTATGATTAACGTTGTTAAAATAGTTAGTCAAATGTGTCATAGGGTGATTAGCATTTTCTAAATTATTCAATGTTATTTCAAGTGCAAATGTTACCTGAAATAAAAGTTGATATTAGTAAAACTTATGGAGGAAAAAACTTTATGAGAAGCAAAAAATATTAATATTGTCTGATTTACTCTTTTAAGTTAAAAATTGGAGTTTGACTAGTAAGTAGTAACCAACATTGTGTTTACCTACTACTTAGCGTTGATTAGGTTGGAATATGGTCACCTGTCAAAGTGATTCGACATGATGTGCACTATATCTGTGTGTAAAATGGTTCGACGGAATTAATAAGAAGCCATGGACTTATGTTTCATGGTAGTTGGCACACTTCGGTCAGGTATGTCTGCAATTTTGTAGAAAGAAATACTCTTCGTGCGGTTGGAACCTACGTCATTTAGTGTTCTAGTCAGATATATCACAAGTAATCTATTGCAGTTGATTAATTGTAACCTCTCCCAAAGTCTTTGATACCATGTCATTGATTTATATGTAAGCATCTTTTTGGAAAAGAGGTTGTGATTTGTGCTAGTGATGTCAACAGATATAAGTAGTATGTATCATCAGTCGGAAGTGAAATGCCTGGTGATAGGAGGTTAAGAAGATCGAAGAAAATAGAATGAGAACAGAGAATGACTGGTATGTAAACGAAGAAACAATGAAGTCTGAGACGATTGATTGGTATTTTGCAAATGAAGTATTTACTATATGGTTCTCAGATTTTACCAAGATATTCTACAATGTTTCACTGAGATACATTTGGTTGTCTCCACTGGTGTCCTCGTTCACTACAAGGTGAATATTCAATATTTAACTAGAGGTGTTAGTTCAATGCTACACAAGCCTATATAAATACATATAGTCATATCTATTACATTAGGGATCATACGTATCCATATTCTGAAGGGGATTCACAGTTTCATGTCGACGTTATCATCACTTTACTTGTTGATTTTTAAATAAACCGTTGATTTGATTGCGCTATCGAAAAAATATTCTATTTCACATCGTTTCAGTTATCACTAATTAACGTGTATTAATGAGAACTCACTTAAAAGGGAACCAGGAAAATTGTCGACATGAGTTCATTTTATCTACTTTCAAGTAACATTCGAATGATAAAAAATTTGATAGATAAGTAATATCAGTGTTTTTATCTTTTACAATTGCCTATCGAACTTGCCGTCATAATTATTATTTACTCAGCTCTTCATAATTAAATTTATTAATAAATGTTATAAATATTTTGACCATACTTTGAATAGAGAACAGCAGTGAAATCCAGAACTCATATTTTATCTTGTTTGGGATAAACCGGTAAAGAGTATCTGGACACAGGTTGACTAAACTCAGTTCTCAATGTTAAAAACAAGAATGTGTTAGCCGTTACAACTTTTCACCGTTTCTGTTTTCCAAAACATAAATTACAAATTGTTTTCATATCTTATCAACTCTTTATATTATATCATCACATTTTATCAGTTACAGTAGAAGTGAAATTATTCCATGTTCTTACCTAAATAATTTTTACTCAACGGGATATTCTCATAGATTTCTGTTAAACGTCTATAGACTAATTAAATAAATTTCGTTTGGTTAAAAATGAACGATTGACGTAATAGTACTGTTGATAAAACGGTACGGAATCCTATATAGATTACATCATATATTAGAATGAATAATATCTACCAGATTTGTGGTTTGCAATTAATATTTCTATACACTTTTTAAAAGACTATTGTGCTTCAGTAACCTATATCTTCTTTATATAGAAGGATTTATTTACATGTAGTTTCTTATTAAAATATTGTATTCCATCAAAAAAGGCTAGATTGTCCTATTTGTTATCTTGCAGTATTTTTAAGGTTAAATTCCTTAGTAACTAACTCTTTAGTTGAAGAACTTATTTAATTCATCCATAATCCTGAACATTGTTGAGCGAGGCAAAGAAACTAATCATTGAATTTGTGGGGATGGCCCACGGGTAAACTCAAGGAAGCTCTGAAAGAACCGAAGACATTCCATCTAAGCATCTGTTGGTGAAACATTCCAGAATCTCGACGTGTAGCTTCTCCATTGGGCAAAAGCTAAAGGCCACTGTATGCGGATTGGATGACTATGATGATGTTTTCGTTTTTAATTAAAAACTATAAATATCTGAGAGTTTTGTACCATATTTAACACTGTTTGGAACAAAATTCTTTTTCACTCGTCTTCTGTCTTCTTATTTGCGACTAGGAGGGTTCTAGAGTTTGGATGCTTAAGTAGTACGCAGTATATCACGAATCTAAGCTCTAAATTTAACAGAATTTTCACCAATATTAGTTAAGGGTTGTATACATACTAAAGATATACGAAATTCACTGGATATTGACTTATGCTTTATTTCTCTTCAGTATTGCACTACATGTATTGATCATACAATACAACATAAAAGTTAAATTAAATGATTAGAAATTCTGCTTCACTATTTACTATTAGGTGGATGAGGGATGTTAAGAACATTGATATTTTACAAGTTAATGTTGATGAAGCTAGAAATTAATGTTACTAAACATTTTAGTTAGAAGTCTTCGGTTTTATTTGTATTTCTCACACAAAACATTCTAATTATTTAACCTCGATAAGTAAATTTAATAATAGAGTTTAACTGATATATTATTGTACTAACCGTAAAACGATTTATCTTATCATTAAATAGAACATTCAGAAACAAACTTATACAAATATATAATTACCTGATGAACATTTATTCGATTTAATGGTTCACATTGGTCATTTACTTGTTCCACTGCACCATGTTGTTTACCTAGTCGTTGGGCTTCTTGTGCTAGAAATAAATCCAGTACGGGTACACCTCGATCGAATATTTCACTTCTTGTCAAACTATTTAATAATAATAAAAGCCATATAGGTCTTTTTTCTTTCCAATCTTTTGTCAATGTCTCATATAGATATGATGCGAAAACTTTTTTTTCAGGTTCAATCCATACATTAATCATATGACGAAGGTTATTTAAATATCGATCTAAACGTTTAATTAAGTCTGGTTTAAGTAGATTTGTGATTGTTTGATTTTTAGGTAACACTTGGCAATCACTCAATTCAGCTAATGTAACGGGATTAGTTAAATCTAGTTCAAAATAGACAATATCTGATTGAGCAAAACTTGTTTTTACTACAGGATCAATTTGTGACCAAACATGTGTATAAGCTACATGTAATGTACCAAAAAGGAATGAAGTTGGCTTAGTGGAAATTTTCCATAGGAATGTATTTTTTTGTTTCGAAGTACTCTAAATTATGAAAAGAATAATAAATAAATCAGATAAATGTTAGTTTCACATAGTTCTAAACGAAGTAAATCTATGAAGTTTTATGCTTAAGAGTGTTCTGTACATTTAATCTAGAAAATTCTTATTAGGAGAGTTTAAGTTATTTAATTACTTAAAGTTTTATGTGTCAGATAATAGTTCTAAATCACTTGGATCGGCCAAGTAATGTTGCGAGTGTGATTAAAATACCAGCATATGATCGTGTATTAAGTTGTAATTTTTAGAATGTAAGGGTATTCCTACCATATATTTAAGTGCTCTATATAAAAGTTTACCAAACATGATTGTAACAATTTGCTCTACTTAGTGATATATAAGTTGATAAAAATCAAATAGCGTAGAAAATTAAGAGGGAGTAGTTGTTCTTGTTTAAAATTTTAGTGGAATATTTTTCGGTTGTGTGTTAAGTTCATAGACTTTACGTTACAGCAAATAGGGTATTGACCATGAGTGTCGTCTACAAAATTAGTTTTGAAGAACATTTAGTTCAAATTGGTTCTCGAAGAAACAGTCCATTAGATTATTCAGTTTATCAATAATTAATAACAGTTTTTGACAACTTACCACTGAAGTTGTAGTGTAAGGTAATGATTTATGAAGTGAACCAAGATGGAAGTGGAAAAAGGCAGTTTTAGATAATGTTTAAGACACTAAGAACACTCTATAATTGGAGAATACTAACGATTCTATAGCAGAACAGTTAATGAGCTAGGAATCTTGGTTCCGGAGATAAGGGGCTATAAATAACTAATAAATGGTAAATTGGAAATGAACACAATGTTTGATTTTCTTTGGCTTCCTATGAGATAGATTATATTGTTACCATATTGGGAATTACATTATGGACTCAAACTACGTCAAACGCTTTTAGATTAAAAGGTGAGATTTCTATAAAATAGCTCATTTTAAAGGTTTGCGTTTAGAACGCAGCGCGACAGTTTCAAAATTTGAAGTTATATGCTTAGTTATGATTCAACAATTATGAATTAATTCTATGAATTTATTGTACTAACGAACTTGGGTTTGTTGCTTATTCGGTTTTGATTTTGTTTTATGACAAAGTTTATATTATCACATTTTATAAAGAAAACTAATCCACCATTTTATCAAATGGGATTTCATTTTTAATATATTTACCATGAAGTGACATCATCTTGTTTAAAGCCAGAGGGCACTATAAACATGTTTCACCTAGTTTGTAATTCAAGAGCATACACATATATTCGAATGCTGGAATAAACCGAGGAACTTCGATATTGTTATGGAGCAACATACTTATAAGCAACTGAGTCCTAATTTTGTAGATAACATTTCCAAATCCGATCATTCCAAAAGTAAGCGTGATATTTATTAAATATCACTGGTAGTGACTTTCTCATTTTTAATATAGCTGAACTTCATCAGTAATCGGTGCCTCATAGTTTATAATAAAGCATAGTAACATAGTGTTTACTACACCAAAGGGCGGAAATAGAACATTTAATAGGCAAATACTGGTGTCGTAATTTAATACTAAGGTCGGATGAATAAGTGATACAATTGTAATAAGAAACGAATTTTGATTAAGTCTGGTGACACTATTTTCACAGAGAAAAGTTACCTCTATGAATATAAACAGAGAACTTGCATGTTACTTGATTTTTTTATTCATTTTTATGTCATGAGTAAAATTTTAACACTGAATACATTGATGACTAAGAAAAATATTCCTGAGTATTTCGTAAATTATATACTCAAAGAGGACATCATTATAACTAAATGGTGTTTATAGAACTCAAACTGATGGTTTTTACGTGATACAACATTCGGACACAGTATGAAATGTTCTCTTAATTTTAAGTACTGAAAGAATTTGTCATTTCTCATACCACAAAATAATGTGGCGAGACTAAATTTATGGACGACTTTCGAACGAATGTCAAGTGACTGAGAAATATTAGTCAATCAGAAAACAGTGAGTACAATAAAAATATATTATACAAAACCAAAGAGTTACAGTGGATACACTTCCTTTACATGGTTCAAAAACTTGTCAAGGTTAAAAAGAGGTTCAGAGGTTCCAAAATAGTAATGCATGTGCTATAGGAGCTCATCTATATGACTCCATGATAGTGGGCCTCTAAAGTTATGATAAGGTCGCGAAAACTATTTCAGCCTCTACCACATAGCTTCAAGATTGTTTGTCGTTTTTATTACGCATATGTCACTACAATACTCATAGCACTTAACAGCCGAAGCTTCAGTAACATTTGCGAATGTTGCCGACAGTGTTACTGGTGCTTTTATTATACTGTTCGCAACAATCTTCTATGAACCGACTGTACATGAGCATCAAGTACTGAAATTGGCTTCGTGACCTTGAAATCTCTCACACGCTTCGAATTGGCTTGTCCATAAATTATAGTCTCGCCTTTTCCAAATTATACTCATGCTAACATTTGTAACCGGAAATCATAGTCTGAATATGGATCATTTTATATTTTCATGATTATAAACGTTTTTCTTTTCATCATTTATATATGAGTATACTTAATATCATATGTGCATGCAACAGGTAAATTTCTTACATTTTCTAGATCTAGTATTATTGTAATTTACTGAAGGGGAATAAAATTCACTTCCGTAGTTATGAATTTTGTCTACTTGAAAAATATCGAATATTACATTCCTTACAACTTAGTAATTTTTGTTTTAGTGAATTATAATAGGAATGAAACGTAAATTATTTGCGCTGAATTAATAATATATTTGTATCAAAATTAATTTTGATTTGGTGATTTATTCTCTAAAGAAGTGACTTAAACCGAATCACGAAACGTCAGAAAATCTAATTTTTCTATTCCTTGAGATATTACATAAATATTATTCATTTCTAACAATCTATCCAATGCTCAGTTTATTCGAAATTATCAAGTCAAACCTTGGTAACGATACCTATAGGATTATATGTAAACTATATGAAGTAAAGAAAAGGTCAATCAGAATTGTTTATATAGGTATACTGTATAAAGAATATTGTTATAGATATGTTTGATTGATATGCTAATCGGTAATACTCTTTCTCTCTCTCTGAAACACATTACTCTTCAAATATCATTTATGAATTGAGAATTATAAATTGACAACCAGAAAAAATAGTATTTACTGGACACTAGATTTATCATGTGAAATGTGATGTTTGATTTATAAAACATTTATGTAAGTACGAAACATACTAGATGTTAGGTACGTTTACTCATTTCTCCTTATTAATACCGTCGAAAAGATTATGCTTAATGTAAACAGATGAGTACCTTTCTTACTGAACAAATGTGGGATTTTACTGGTATTTTTATAATTTATTTGTTCATTGTCAGTTTAGGTGGCTTTATGAAAGCTTTATATAGTTACGGGGTAGTAGAAACTATTCTCTGCTAGAAGACTGTGGGAGACCAGAGAGCACTGTACAGATCTCATTTACAATTGCTCACCGGTCTGAGCCTTAGGTAGCTAATCAGATTGTGACTGAGACTGCTATTCACAGATTGCGTTTGATGGGTATCGATTCATGTGACGAACTAACAGAAGTTTGAAATGTAGACTACTGAATATGTGATTTGGGGTAGTATGATTATCTCAAAATCTGAAGGTCATTACTTCGTTTAGAAGTGTACAGTGTTGCGAAGTTTTAAACTAGAACGAAAGCATTTTGAAAAAATGAAAAATATGAAGCAATTCATTTGTCGAATAGATATTACTAATACCGTTAAGTCACCAAATGTTATTTAGTGTTGTTTTAAAACATGGTAATAAAATAAAAAGTAAACATCATTTCATTATAACCAAAATAATAGATAATAATTAATTGCTTTGATTCAACAAATAATCCGTATCATTCTATTCTACTGAATTTGCAATTAGCAGTAAACTTCATAATTATAATAGACTAGTTAAAAACCTATGAAACATTACAGAAGTCTACTACTTTTATGCTTTTTGAACGTCAATAGAAACGACAATGACAAGCCCAAGTAAGTAAGTAAGTAATGTATAGAGATCAATGAAAAAAAACGATATTATGAATCATGTAGTTACAATAATAAAAAGGATTTATTATATGATCGAAATAAGTTAAGCTGAGAAAGAACTCACGAAAGTAATTTTTAATTGCCAAAATAGGTTATTGCACAACTACACTTTAAAAACCGAGGTTTAAAGGACAAATTGGGGAAATGAAAACATGGTCCTTTTGAATTGATAATTCCGAATTACTCTATTTGACAATGATGGTTTCGGCAATATTTAACAGGAATTCTAAGATTCTTATGTGTTAACAATTATGTACGTTTATGAAATATAATTATTATGTCCTCTTGTAAGCAAAGGAATTAAATGTTTTTGAAAGATGTCTGTGAGATAGTTGTTATTCAAAATAGTTTGTCGGTAGAAGTAGAAATGGAAGAATAAAGGTTATAGAATATTGCTAAAGTGGAGAAAAAACCTTCCTCTTTAGAGGAAGGTTGACTGAAAGGATGATAAAATATCTGACAAGATTGATCTTACATTAAGCGGTCCTTTGGAAAGCCCTTATCCAGCCGTCAAAATTGTATCAATATATCAAATAGATTGCTTGTTGAAACGTTCAAAAGTAGTTACACATTCACTTTACGTTACATGCTATTGTGTCGACCAGTTTACACGTCCTGACAAAGAACATACATTGGAAAGACAGGAAGTAAACTCGTTTGACTGTTTTCTCAAGGTATTGTTCAGGGGAAATAATATCTTAAAAATGTTTACAAATAAACTTAATTACCTTGTATATTATGTATGTTGTTCTCTTCATCATCAGATTTACAAAATTTTAATAACAAATGAAGATAAATAGTTAATGGATTATTAGATCCAGTTTTTGAATACCGTTTAATTTTCAGCAGTTTCTGAATAACAACAATCATAACAATCATTCTAGTCTGTAAATT